ACCGCCAGTGTCGACTGCCTCTTCGCCCCGTCGTCGGTCTTCGGTCTTCGGTCTTCAGTCTTCGGCCTTCGGTCTTCGGTCTTCGGTCTTCGGCCTTCGGTCTTCGGCCTTCGGCCTTTGGTCTTCGGTCTTCGGTCTTAGGTCTTCGGTTTTCGTAGTCGTCCATCCCGGTTGTCCTTCCTCGTTGCCATCCATCCTGATCGTCCTCGTCGTCGTCCATCCTCGTCGTCGTCTATCCTCGTCGTAGTCCATCCTGATCGCCATCCATCTGGGTCGTCGTCAGTCCTGGGGCTCGCTGGAAAAGGTTAAAGGTTAGAATGGCCAGGTGCTAATCACACTGGCCATGGGTTGCTGCTGAGAAAGGAAAGGAAAGAAAGATGAAGAGCACCAGCATAGACACTGGTGCTCTGGTAGTGGTGGTGATGATGATGATATTCAGCCCGGAGTGCGGGCGTGGGTGCCATCCGATGGGCGCGAGAAAGAGAGAGGGAGGCCAGAATGTCTGCAAAAAGGAAACAGAAGTTAGAAACCAAAACAAGCAAGCATTTATCCAGGACTTACCATCATCGGCGAGACTTCTGATGATCTTCGCCATCAAAACAAAGAGCGCGCAAGGGCGCTATCAGCAACAGCAGCGGCGGCGGCATGACCGCTCTCGTCGGTGTCTGTACGGCAATTGAGGCGACTGTAGCGCCGGCGATAGCGGCGGCCGAGGCAGACAGTCTGCTGACAGCTGTCAGGGGTGCCCGTCGTAGATGCAATGCAAGATACCAAAACGGGAACTTTAAATGCGGATATCTCGGGAAGTACTTGAGATATCCAGGTTCGGTTTGCGCAAGAACACTTTACTAAACGTTCTGCGTCGAATGGGACCATAAAACGGGGAGGTTAGATTTTTGGCCAAATCGGCCAAATCTGCAAGGCTATAGCCTTGCAAATTTTGAAAATCTGGCCAAAAAATTTTTATTGCAGGTTCGAACAGAACTCGACGAGAGGACTCCAAATCTGAACGAATTTTTGCTCTAGAACCACGGGAACATGGTCAATTTTAATTTTAAAGTTAATTAAAATTGTCATGTTTATTTGACGACCGCCAGATGGCGACAGGGGTTCCATAAACTTTATTTTCCTGGTATTCTGAACACGAGAAAAATAAAATTCACGGGCGATTTTTTGACGCCACTTTCAAGATGGCGACGACGGTGGCGTTCCTAGCGGACAACATCGGAAACTACTCCCTTTTAACGATAAATTCTGTCAATTTTTCAAACAGGCGTTTCTTAGACCTGGAACGTCGCAAAAAGCTGAAAGTTGTTTTAAATGAAAGATAAAGACTTTGCGCACAATCTACAAGCAAAATAAATTAGTTTTACCAAGTATTTTGTTTTTGAATCTAACTTTAAAGTTTTCAATGCTACTTTTGCAATATCAAAACTTGTCTAAATTAATTTATTTTACATACAGATTGTGCGCCAAGTCTTTAGCTTTTATTTAGAGCAATGTTGAGCTTTCTGTGACGTTCCAGGCCCAAAAAACACCTGTTTGAAAAATTGACAGAATTTATCGTTAAAAGCGGGTAGTTTCCGATGTTGTCCGCTAGGAACGCCACCAGCGTCGCCATCTTGAAAGTGGCGTCAAAAAATCGCCCGTGAATTTTATTTTTCTCGTGTTCAGAAAACTCTGTTTATTGAAACACTGATTAACATCTTAGCCTTTTTTAACAAAGTAAAACTTAAAATTCTTTATTGTTGTAATATCACCAGGAGAAATTATTAATTAAAAGCAGAAACGCTCGTCATCTTTGTTTGTGTATAATCATCCTTTCAGAGGTGTGTGTTACGAACACATAGCTAACAAGTAGAGGAGTTGTGTGTGAATGGGAAAACGAAAACAGGAAGAGGAAATCAAATGAATGGGCTTCAGTAGTACAACTCCGGTCTCTCTCTCAGATAGCACAAACAAACACTGAAAACAGTCGGCCAATAACTGAGATTCAGTGCAAGTTGGCTGGCGAGAAGAGGGGAGAAAGTGGCTAGCTTGGGAACAGGTAAAGTGTGAAGGGGTAAGGTGTAAAGTGGAAGGGAAGAAAAAGAAAAAGGGACACGAGAATAAAAGAAGATAGTGGGAGAAGAGGGGAAGAGAAGGCTAATACAAGAGAGATAACAAAGTGAGATTGCCGATCACTTTTAAAGTGAGTGTGTAGAGATGGTGTGTCGGTGTGTGTGTGTATTTGTACAGAGTTGGCTTGATAGAGGTGGTGGTTAGGGTGTCATCATAATGGACGAGTATCACATTGAGAGTTCATGACTACCCCACATTTCCTTCATTTCAGTCAGGCAGCCTGAGGGCGTCTTTGAGAAAGGTGTCCGGGTCGGCGATGGCGGCCGGGCCGCGAAGCAGATCGGCGGCATCGGCAAACTCGCCGAAAGAGGTCGACAGGAGGAGATCACTCTCAAAGAGCTCCAGCATCTTGTCGGCCGCCTCCAGCATCGCCTGGTCATTGTGGCGAATGTAGGTGGCCAGCGCCGAGGACCAGTCGGTGTCCTGGTCGGTCGTCTCGACGCTCTGTGGCAATGAAGAAGAAAGTGTTAGATGGTGCCCGACTTCTACTCCAACTGAACAGCCCAACATACCTTAAACATAACCGTGTAAAAGAGATTAATCATCGCAAAGAACATCACCGCCGGTTTGATGGTTCCATAGGCGACCGGCTCGGTGGCCCGTTCCGCCAGCGCTGCAGCCGTTCGCCGATCGGCCGGCAGACGTCGCAGGTGTTCGGTGAGAATCAGCCGCCGAAGGACGTACAGTCGGCGCTCCGCCCAAACGGTCTTCGAGGAGAGCAGCAGCGTCATGACCGCCCAAAAGTAGGGCGAGTCTGCGGCAAAGGCAGAATCAATCCATCGGTCCGCCGGCTGAGCGAAAAAGTTCGCCTCCAGGTTGGCGCGCTCCCGTTCGGCCACCTTCGTGGTGTTCATCACGTAGAGGGCAGTGTGGGCGAGGTAGGGCGTCAGGTAGAGGTTCGATTGGGCGCCGCCGCCGCCCGTCTCCTCGCTCATAAAGGTGCTCTCCGTGGCGAAACGGGCCAGCAGCAGCTTCAGGTCGTGCACCGTGCCTAGGAAGCTGTTGGAGCCGGTAAAGTCCCGCTGGCCCACCGCATCATGCAGGTAGCTGTTGTGGCGGGCAAGGGCGTGCGCAAAAAGCGACTCGTACACTTGGGGGCCCCACAGTGGAAGGAGGCCATTGCATCGCGTGTTGGCATTGTGCAGCGCCGCCGACTGCCACTCGTCGCGGGTGCGCGCGTGCCGAACCGCCGACATGTGGCACTCCACGTGGATGATGTTGAAGTGGGTGACGGTGGTGTAGCCTGGAGAAGATAAGAGGAGAAAACTTAGGAAAACGCCCCCAAACAAAGAGGTGTGCCCAATGCCCACTTACCGACAGTCTTCCTCGGGCGGCGCTCCTCGTGCTCCTCCACGTTGCAGCGCTTGGTGAAGGTGTACACCGCGAGCACCTNAACAAAGTAGTTAACCACAATGCCACTTACCGACAGTCTTCCTCGGGCGGCGCTCCTCGTGCTCCTCCACGTTGCAGCGCTTGGTGAAGGTGTACACCGCGAGCACCTTCTGCGCCGAGTACTGGTAGCCCTCGCGGCAGATGGAGCAGACGAGGCCCTTCTCCTCGCCGGAGCCGGCCGCCCCCAGAATGGCCGTCTGCTCCTCCATGGCCTTCAGCAGCTGCGAGTCGGCCATCACCTGGCCCTTGTCGTTGGCGCGCATGCCCAGCTCGCCCAGCTGCTTCTCGCGGACGGCCATGGCGATCCGCTTCTTCTCCTCGCGCGTCTTCAGCCGCACCTCCTCAATCTTCGCCTCCACCGAGGGGTTCTCCTTGATGGCGTCCATCAGGTTCTCCGCCAGCGTGGCCATGTGCGAGTCGGTCAGCACCTGCTCCAGGCCGTGGATGATCGGTATGGCGTCGCGGGTGATCAGCAGCTGCGTGTTCTCGTGGCCGTGGCTTAGACCTGAGGGAGAACGTGAGAAATTAAAACAGGAAAAAACTCAAAAACCACAGAACACTTACCAGTCAACATCCGCAGGACATACTTGAGCGCCGGCCGCGAGGTAAAGTCCTTCCACTCCTCGTTGTTGATGAGCAGAAAGTTCTTCATCGGCGGCGCATTGCGGACCAGGTACTCAATGGTGGTGGGCACAAAGCCCTCCTCAATGAGCAGGTCCTTCATGCGGTTGCCCGTCTTGTTCCGCTCAATGCCGTTCAGCAGCGAGCAGAGCAGCTCAAAGCGGTGCTCCGGATTTTCCAGCTGCAGCTGCTTGCGGTCGTAGGCGTCAAAGTCAAAGTACGGCTTGAAGAAAGCGAGCAGCGCCGCCGCCTTCTCCGCATTGCCCAGCGCCAGAAAGGCGACGATGCGGAGAATCTTCGCCGTGAGGCTGTTCACGGTGGCGCTGTAGAGGACCGAGTCGAAACGGGTGACGGCGTCCATCAACAGGCGGACGTCCTCCGCCGTGCCGCAGGTGGTGACGTTGAAGAGGTCGTAGGCGGTCGCTTCCTGGCGACTCGCCTCCGCCATAAGCGTCTCCATCAGAGTCAGCAGCTGCTCAAAGTAGGAGGGCGCCCCCGGGGCGGAAGGCGTCGTCAGCAGGTCGGGGGCCTGACTGCGCACAAAGAGGCGGGCAATGGCGAGCATGGCGCCGATGGTGTTCAGCTGCGGCGAGATCAGCGCCCGCCGGTTGGCCACCACCTTCACGCAGTAGCCAAAGAGCTTGAGAAGGACAAAGAGCAGCTGGCGGCTGCGGTTGGTGATCTCCTCCACCGCCTCAAAGCGCTCCAGCATCACCTGCAGGCCACAAAAGGTAGTTGAAGTGGCACTGCTGCTTGATCCGTCGCCGCCCACTCCCTCGGCCATGATGGCCGCCAGCTCGTACCGCTTCTCGTCGTCCTCCACCACCGACTCCTTGTTGGCAAAGGACTCGATAAACTCCTCCGTGGCGTCGCCCATCAGCCCTCGAATGCGGTAGGTGATCTTCATCGTCGGTCCGGCGGATGAGCCGGAGATGCCGCCAGCTCGAGCTAATGCGGCACCTCCTCCATGGCCAACGCCGCCGACGAGCTGCGCCAGCGAAAAGCCGCCGCCTCCCGCGGCCAGCGAGTCAATCAGCGCAATGTCCGCCGACTGCAGATTGAGGTGGGCGGCGCTGGCCAGCGAGGACCAGCTCGCCGAGGAGACGCCGCTGGCCACCGAGCCGGTGCCGCCGCTGGAGCCGGTGCTGGCCGTGTCCGCCTGGACGATCCGTTTGTACACCTCCTTCACGGCCAGGTCCAGCGAGATGATCTTGTTGTTGACCAGCAGCTCCAGGCCGCTGTCGTCCTCGAGCAGCGACACCAGCTCGCACTCCTGGCAGATCTTGTTCTTGATGTCGCGCATCAGCGGGCCCATGCCCGGGTCCTTGCTGCTGTACGGGTTGCCCAGCATCCGCCCCTGCAGAAAGTCCTCCTGCTGGGGGTCCTTCTCCAGGCTGATGAAGAACTCGTCGGCGTCCTTCTCCTCGGGGTAGATAATGGAGCAGAGGCGCTCAAAGATGAACACCGGCGTGCGCTGGTCCTGGATGGCGCACTTGCGCACCGACTCGATGCACACCTTCATAAAGTTGATCGTCTCCACGCGCGTGCCCGTGGTGAGCAGCTCCAGCAGCTCCAGCAGCGCCGTCTGCGTCTCGTCAATCATCTTCGTCCGCTGGACGATGAGCATCCGCAGCGAGAGGTAGCCATCGAGGACGACGCCCACCATGGCCGACTTGTGCACCCGCCGAATGCGGTCGTCCACCATGAAGATCTGCAGCAGCTCCACCAGCTGGCGGAGGGCAAAGCCCTGGCCAAAGTCGGAGCTCAGCGTCGCCTCCTCCAGTGCCTTCAGGCGGGCAATCTCCTCGGTGATCAGCCGGCCGAGGTGCTGCAGCAGGCCGGTCAGGGCGAGGTAGTACCGCCAGTGGAGGCCGCCGCCGCCCTTGAGGAACACCTCCGCCTGAACACTTGCACGCTCTTTGCCGGCAGCAGCGGTTTTTGCCACCGCCGCCACCGGGCTAAACTCGCTAAAGATGATGGAGCGGTAGAGGTCGTAGTACTCGAGGCCGGTCTCGCCGCCCACCGCGCACAGGTCGTCGAGGAAGGTGGTGAGCAGGTCCACCAGAACGCGTTGCTGGTTGGTGAGCCGCTCAAAAAGCGCCATCAGCAGCTGCCGACAGGCGACCCGGAGCGCCTTCGAGGTAGGGTTGAAGAGCACCTCGCGGATCCAGCTGGAGCTGGCGATGCGCACCGCAAAGGACTCGCTCTGCAGGTGGCGCAGCCGCCCACTCGCCCACAGGTACTGCCACCGGGCAAAGTACTTGTCCGCCAGAAAGTCCTCATACTTGGCTGGTCGGTTGTTGGTAGAGGTGGTAGAGGTTGTGGTGGTCTGCTCATCCGATCCGGATGAACCGTCNGACGCGTTGCTGGTTGGTCAGCCGCTCAAAGAGCGCCATCAGCAGCTGCCGACAAGCGACCCGGAGCGCCTTCGAGGTGGGGTTGAAGAGCACCTCGCGGATCCAACTGGAGCTGGCGATGCGCACCGCAAAGGACTCGCTCTGCAGGTGGCGCAGCCGTCCACTCGCCCACAGGTACTGCCACCGGGCAAAGTACTTGTCCGCCAGAAAGTCCTCATACTTGGCTGGTCGGTTGTTGGTGGAGGTGGTAGAGGTTGTGGTGGTCTGCTCATCCGATCCGGATGAACCGTCGGCGGCGGCCGATGCAGGCGAGGCAAATCGTTGCTGCTGGCCACGACGGGGGCGTCGCTGGTTCCGTCGCTTCCAGGCGGCAAAGGAGGCCTTCGGGTCGCCCGACAGCCACTGGCCCAGGTCGACGGTGACGTTCACCATCAGACTGTCAAAGGTAATGTTCGGTGAGGTGGTGGAAGAGGAGGAGAGGCCAGGGGCGGCCAGCACCGATGCGGCCTGATCAGCCGCCTCAGGATCGGCATTCCCGCGTCCACCTCCGGTCGCCTTGGGCTTGATAATGAGCCCGTAGAGGATGCGCAGACAGGGCAGGGTGATCGCCTCCAGCACCGCCGGCGACTTGTTCTGCAGACTGAGGAGAAAGAGCTTCATGACGCACCGGAGCCGCTGCTCCCAGCAGCTGTCCTCATTGTCGAAGCTGGCGGCCAGGAGGGCCATCTCATGGCGGATGGAGCCAAAGTCGAAGCTGGTCATGTAGTGCGACTGGAAGGCCGCCTTGATCTTCTCCAGCAGCAGGTTGTTGAACTCCTCCGTCGCCTGGGCGTTGTCGCGCGTCAGCAGACAGAGGAGGGAGCGAATCTCCGCGCGGAAGCTTCCCGTGCCCAGTCGGAGGTTGTAGTCGATCAGCTCGCGAAAGAGCGACGACGAGCTGAGGATGGCCTTGTAGCGCGGGGTGTAGGCGAGGGCCTAAAGGGAG